AGATAGAGGCATGGCCTCATTATTAATATTAAAAAAAAAAAATGGTGCATATCAGTGAGAGTATCCACTAAAATATATCATAAAAAAGTTTGAATAGTACCCTTTATACCATCATACTAGTGGTAAACACTAATGTCGATATATTTTTAAGGATCTGCTAGGCAAAAAATTCCCATCATGTAGAGTTAAATTCTAAATATTAATGGTGAGACCATGTTTTAGTCTTTATTAAAATTTAATTTAACTCTCTTACAAAGCAAAGAATATACAGCTCTCTTACAAAGAAAAGAGAATATATAGAGTTAAATTCTTAGATAGGCTATATTTGAATAGATATAATGAGAAATTGCATCTTATATTCAAATACCAAGGTCCTCAATACTATCATTACAATAGTTTCTATCACTGTAAAAACAAAAATCTAAAATCACAAATTATTCATGATCAGAAGAAGTAGAATATTTGCAAGAAGCAAGATATATGCCTTATCGAAGTTCTCTATATCACTGATCTTCTGTCCTATATATACATGCTGACAAAATTATTTTAAGTTTCAGGATATAAAATTAAAATTTGAAGATGAAATTGTTTTTGACCTACAGTATTTTACTTAAAAGATGAAAATTTTTAACACTTTTTTTAAAGAGACGAAATTATAAAGAAAATAACTATCTAAATTAGATTTGCTATTGCATATAAAAAATTTTAAAAGAGGTGTGGCGACTTAGTGAAGTGGTCAAGTTGTCGCCCCCAAGTGGCACATCCAGAGTTCAATTCTCACCGATGACAAAAAATTGAATTCTTTTGTGTATTGATGACTATTCAGGTGTTGGGATGTAGATCCTGTAATGATGATCAGACCAAATAGGTACAAGAGGTAATGATCACCTAACAGACGGCTTATCTCGTAAGCTCTAATTGGGGGTAGTAGTACAGACTTGGAAGATTTAGAGGTATTCGTGTAAGCGTATACTTATTTGCGCAAATGATACAAACCAAATAAGGAAAATTTTGATGTAAATCACAAGATCAGGTATAACCGTTAAAAACAAAGCTTTTTCAAAAAATAGCCAGTAGCTCAAAATTCTGCCTAAAAAATCATCTTTAATGTTCTAATAAAAAAAATTCTTTGCAAAATTTTAGTATATACTACACTTTACCTCTAACCTTAACATCATGACTCTCACGCGTATGTATGTTGTATATAAGTTAATTATTTCATATAATGTCAATTATTTCCAAATAAGGCTTGTGTTACTTGCACAAATAAGTATTCGCTTCGTGTAATAGAGGAGTTATACGAAGGAATACAAACTGATAAAAGGCGGTGTAAACCCACGATAAGTCACCAGGATCTGTGTAAATCTGTTAGACATTATCCTGAATAGGAATCAACTTGGCAAGTCCTGAATAGAGAGGTAGTACTACTTTCGACAGCTCTGGAAAGTTTGAGAAGAAAACCAATAAGCTGTGGATCCAGACGAGGACCGGATGTTTGGCGAGCACTATACAAATCAGGTCACTGGAATTGACTGGAGAAAAAGAGCACAGGCTGGTATCTGGGTTAACCCAGTAAGAAAGTGGGTAACATAACTTGTGGACTAAACCAGGCTATCTGGATTGGAAGTTTGATAAAACAGTGGAAGGGTTCCTGATTGGATAAGTAAGGGCTGGGGTAGAGTGAACTCTATAAGGGCAGAAATAGGTAATGGTAGCAGCTTCAGCTCACAAGTACTTGTCCTCAGACTTGGCATAAGTTACCGAAATCTAGGTCAGCCTAAATGTGAATATGGAAGGCTCTAGCAGGTTTATTTCGAAAACAAAGGACCCCTATAGGTAGGTCTGTCTTAAAGTCCTAAGTCGGGAATCCGAAAATAAGGGAGTACTAATGTATTCTCACTCAGTTAGAAGATTAATATACATAGGCACAGAGGGTTTAAATGGGTAACTCGGTAGGGTTATAGGTATAGCAGCTAGTGTAGGGCTTAGTAATAGAGGTCTACTTAAATAGGCAACCAAAAATTGTAAATGTGGCTAGTTGTATTCTCCAAATATGTGTACAGTATGATGTATACCATACTGTAAAAGTTAACAATAATCGAATAAAAGGATAGCGACCAAGAAATCACTTTAAAACCAAAAAAAAATTAAAAAATAAAAAATTCTAAATTGCTCTAATGGCGATGAAATAGGAGTTTTTTAAAACTCTATTTTGTAGCATATATAGTCCTATATCAGACATAAATTAATAAACAAATCACAAGTTATCTAAACAAATATATTTTTTTTTATACAGTATGTAAATTTTACTATAAGCCCGAATGTGCAGTGCTTCTATCTAAAACTTTTTTTTTTATTAAGTAAATCACTCTTGAGCTTGTAACAAAAGTTGTAGAGCCTATCAAGATGCATTTAATAATGAAAGAACATTGAAATTGGTCTGGTGGTTTTTGAGAAATTTTTAAAAAACTTCTTTTTTACATATAAAATTTTTTTAAAAAAAATTGATTTTTTTAAAAAAAATTTTATATATAAAAAAGAAGTTTTTTTAAAGATTTCTCAAAAACCACCAGACCAATTTCAATGTTCTTTTACTATTAAATGCATCTTGATGGGCTCTACAACTTTTGTTACAAGCTCAAGAGTGATTTACTTAGTAAAAAAAAAGTTTTAAATAGAAGCACTGCACATTCGGGCTTATAGTAAAATTTACATACTGTATAAAAAAAAATATATTTGTTTAGGTGACTCGCAATTTGTCTATTAATCAAAAAAAAGTTCTTGAAAGAAGCGAAGAATTAAAAGGGATTATTTTTAGTATATTATTAATAATACTCCATTTGACATAAAAATAAAAAAACTCAAACCAGTTAAAAGACTTGTATACCATATTAACAAGATTAAAGATGCTCAAAAATACAATGCCAATTCCAGTGTTCCCCAATGGCCTTTCACTTTGGCCATCTTTGGCCGTACCAATATAGAAAAAACTAATAAGGTTCTTAATCTCATGCTCAAAAATAAACCTTACTGAATGTTTAATAGAAAGAAAGGAGGGACATGCTATATTAAGAATAATGATTTGCTATTAATTGGCCATCAACTTAAAGAACCGAAATATTTATATCTCAAATCGGCCTATCAAATAATTGCTAATAGTACAAAGCTATATCGTAAAAATATTTATTCCGAGCTTTGAAGTCTGATAAAATCCCCAAGATAAATTTATTTTCTCCAGATAGGGCTATAGTAGTTATATTTGAAGATCTATATGCTGATTCAAAGAAAGTGCAGGAGAAAATTATTCCTTATTTCATTGAATGGCGCCATTACAATGTCAGTTCGATATATGAATCCCAGAGTTACTTTGACTGCCCAAAAATAATACGAAAAAATCTTACACATGTCTGCCTATTCAATAGGTTGTGCACTATAGATGAGCTAGTTCAAATTGCGCGCCAATATGCTAATGACTGGCGTAGTGTGATTAAGATTATTAACAAGGCTTTATGTAAACATAAATTCATTGTTTTTGATTTAACTGTACCTCGTGAGCATTCACATAGGATACGTGTTGGCTGGGATTAAATTCTCACTAATGAATAGAACTGAACTTCATAGATGCTAGCTCTTTTTCTGCCTCCAGCAGTTGCATCTTCAGATCTTCGATCTCATAGCACATTTTCTTATTTGCAGTAACCTGCTCTCTATAATCCTTTTCTACGTCTTTCATAAACTTCCCAAAAGTCCTCTTATTATAATCGACCAGGTGTTGGGATAGTACTTTAAGCTCATTCATAACCCGGCTATTATTCTCTTCTTTGTGATCATGCTTTAGTGCCTCTGGCCAAGTGATATTATCAGTTTGAGTATCACTATCTGAGACAAGTATAGTCGGTAATGCTAGGGATACATTACATTCCGACTAGCTTCGAGGGTGCAATGTTTTTTCCTAAGTCATATTCTTGCGTCTCCTATTTAACGAATTCTCATAAACTTCTAATTTTATGACTCAATTCGACCAGACTTTCCAGAAATCATTTCTAATTGAACAGGGTTTTTAGAGCAGTTTAAAGACCTTGATATGCTCTCTTGACAAGACTTTCAGGTAGTCTATCAATAATATGTTTATAGTCAGAATGGAACATTTTATCAGATATATGTTTGCGCAAAAAAAGTTTGCATGCAAAATAGTCCATAGCATATAGCACTATAGATTTACGCGCCTATATCACGAATTGCGTCACATCTGATAGGAGATTGGTTAGGCTCCTGAAGGATGGTCACCAGACTAGTCACGGGTCAGGTAAGTAATTTTTTGTGATACCGATAGCAAATTTTTTATTAGTTCATTCTGTGTTTGCTTATCTTCCAATTTCGCAATTCTGGCCTTAAGCTCAGTATTATCAGCTCTAATTTTATCATTCTCGGCCTTAATTTTATTATTCTCAGCTTTAATTTTATCATTCTCGGCCAAGAACCTGGTTCTCAGCCTCAAGCTTGTCATTCTTAGCTTCAAGTTCAGTGATACGCTGTTTCAATAATTCAAGCTCAGATAACATGATCTATATATAACTAATACAATGTATATAAGCATTCAAAATAAAAAAATGTGGTTTTTGACCGGGGCACCCCGGCTGAAATTTGCTCAAGACAAGAATCTAATAAAGGTAAAACATTTCTTTATTAAATATCGGGAAGTGGATATTGAATCAATTATGAGTAATTATTTGGATGCACATTGCACGCTAGATTAATTTAGATAGAATAGAGGATAAATAAATACAATGTTTGGGATGTAGCCCAGGATACATATTATTTTTTAATAAATATTGATATTGAAGAGTTTTTTTTTTTCATGATATAATTAGTATCTGCAAAGTACATTATACAAGACCAATGATTGATGCTTTTGCAAAGATATGCGGTCTTATTTTGAATCTCTGATTTTTTGACATTCTTCGTAAGGTGCTTCATCAAGTTTTGGTTTGCTAAATTCACCACCATATACGTGGAAACACGTATCTCTGTTATAACCACCTCTATATGTTTCAGCATAATCATCATCATCATTAGCAACTCCAAGATCAACCCAGTATGTTGTAGTATTATCTATCGTATGATAAGTAAGAATACCATTTTTTAAATCCGCACCCCATAGTTCCATACCATCAAAGGTCGCACAAGTGAAACAATAATAAGCTCTAAGAGTTACATTTGGAGGTATAAAAGTTATGAAATTGCGTTGATAATCTTCCTGCCAAACACAACAAGTAGCTGTACATAAATAAAATTAAATTAAAATCAAAAGGAATATACATGATATCAAATCACTCATGAAATTTAGCTCAATA